AATAAATATCTATCTATCTATCTATCTATCTATCTATCTATCTATCTATCTATCTATCTATCTATCTATCTATCTATCTATCTATCTATCTATCTCATTTTCAACAGTGGAGAAGAATGACTGCCTTTTAACAGGAAGAGACGTCCAGCCAGGCAGTATGCACCTTCCTGAGCCAGGCTCAGGGAGGGCGGCCAACTGTTTCAGCTGACTGGGTGAGAGTAAAGGGGAGAAGGGGGGGTGGCAGCAGAGACAAACAGACAACAAACAAAAGATCATAAACACTGGACAGATTGGTGAGGCCTGTAATTGTAGATCAGACACATGCAGCTCCAGAGCCAGAAATACCTGAGAGAGGTACAGGGAGGAAGAGGACAGAGAGGACAAAGCACAACAATAAGAGAGAGAAGAGTTACAGGCAAAGTTTTGTCCAGTGCTGTACAGTATCTGTAGAAAGTATTCACCTTCCTTGGAAGTTTTCCCATTTTATATTTCTTTAACACTGAATCAAGGTCAATTAAAAAAAAAAAAAAAGAGTGAAAAAGTAATATAAGTAGTTTAGTGATTACATGTTCACCCCTTTTAAAGTGACTCACCTAATTCAACACAGATGCAGCCAAGTCACACAGCCAGTGAAGTGGAGATGATCTGAGTGCAGTGAATGTGTCTCTAGTGATTATAGTATAAAGACGCCTGTATCTGGAAGGTCCAGTCACTGGTGAATCAGTACTCCAGCTACGCAGTGAAGACAAAACAGCACTTTGAGCATCACTTTGAAAAGGTTGTTGAGGATGGATACAAGAAAACTTATAAGTTAATTCAAAATATGCTTTGAAGTGCTGTTAAATCCATCATGAAATGGAAGGAATATCACACATGTGTAAATCTGCCTAGAGCAGGCCGTCCTCAAAAACTGAGTGACTGTGCAGGAAAGACAATAGCGAAGGAGGTCACCCAGACGTGAGTTGGCCCAGGACTCAACTGAAGGAGCCACAAGCTTCAGCAGCTGAGATGGGAGAGACTTTGCATCCAACAATCGTTGCCTGTTCTTCACAAGTCAAAGTTTTATGGGGGAGAGTTTGACAGAAGGCAGATAAGAGACTCTGAAGTCAGCTTTCATCCATCCATCTATCCATCCATCCATCCATCCATCCATCCATCCAACCATCCATCCATCCATCCATCCATCCATCCATCCATCTATCCATTCATCCATCCATCCATCCAACCATCCATCCATCCAACCATTATCTATACTGGAGCCTGTCCCAGCTGACTTAGGGTGAAGGCCTAAAGTCAACTTGAAGAAGGAACTGATCTTTTTAACCATCAAACTAGACACTGTGTCTGGCAGACACCAAACACTGCACATCATCACAAAGACACTATGCCCCACCGTGAAGCATGGTGGTGGCAGCATCATGATGTGGGAAGGTTTCTCGGCAGCAGGCCCTGGGAAGCTTATAAAGGTAATAAGGTGAAGTGAATGCAACAAAGTATTGGGAAATCCTAGAGGACAATCTGATGCAGTCTGCAAGAGAAATGTGACTTGGGGAAACATTTGTTTACAGCAAGACAGTAATACTGAAGCATACAACTGCACATAAACGTTTTAAATACAACAAGGTGAATGCTGTAGTGACCCAATTAGGGCCCAGACCTCAATCCAATTAAGAAATGGTGGCTGGACTAGAAAGTGGCTCATTAATCATTTGCATGCAACCTGATAGTTTTGCAAAGACAAATGGTATAAAATTGCAGTGTTCAGATGTGTAGCACTGATTTAGACCTATCCACACAGGCTCAGTGCTGACTTTAAGGGGATGAATACTTAAAAGGGAAAAACTTCCAGGGGAGGTGAAAATGTTTAATATGCACTGCATGTCTTAATTTTTTTTTTTTTTTTTTTTAAAAAGGGAACACATATCTTCACACAGTCATTTAAACAGAATCGGGGGACAATCCTCATTTTCAATGCTGCCATGGCACATATAAATATCACACTTAAATCAAATGGTATATCAGATAAAAACAAAACTGAACAATGATTGAAAGATTTGCTACACTCTGCAAAAACAAATGAGGACCTCAATGAAAACAAATAAACTCTGCAGTTAGCATTAGTCTTTTTGAACTACAACAACTTTGAATTAAATTGTAATAAGTCAACTAGCTACACTGAATTATGGAATTAGCTTTTACTCTAAAAACAAGTGTGTTTTGAATTACAACTTTTTAATAATTAAGTTATTAATCATTACTTATTAACCTAGAAAAATAAGTTGCAATAATTAGATTCTCGTTCCTGTAGCTCCTGAGACTACATCGATCAGTTTCCCGGTGCAAAGTGCAATAAGGTAAATTGAAGGCTTGCAATGGCTACTTTCTTGAATTTTTAATTTATCTGTTGAATACACAAATGAAAGAATTAAATCTTGTAGACAATTAGCTATACTGCACACATTTCTACTGTAAAACATTAGTTAAAGGAGAACAACACCTAAATCTGTGAGAAATCAACACACAGTGTGGGGGAAAAAATGGGCAGAGCACTGAAATGGCCCACTATTTCATGTTGACTGGTGTTTCATCATTTTCCACAGAGGCCACTTAGATCAAAGACCAGTCAATAAATAGGCCAATTAAGTACTCTACTAAAGAAAACTGTAACACTAGTTGCAAACAGATGCTAGGTTTCAGATAGAATTTGATAACTGACAGTTACGCAAATAGTCAAAAACTAAATCATGCTTTCCCTCCAAATCATACTTTTCACAGCACAAATGAAAAGTCAGCTGAGTAGATTTGTCAAATGAAATTTTATCATTGAATCATTATTGTGCTAAACTGCAGAGTAAAATGGCCAAATTGCACTGCTAAATATGAGTAGTGTCAGCTGTGTGCAAGTCCACTACTGATAGTTTCATAAAAAGTTATTAAGAATATTCCTTAATACATTGCTATAGTAGAATTTATTAGTTAAAAAAAATATACAT